GTCCCTTCAGGCTCGTTGCCAAATACACTGCTTTCTGCTCCTCTGTCCATCCATTCATTTCTGCCAGGAGCTCAAATTTTGCTCTTTATGCTTCCAACGGTGCCTTTCCATCGAATTTCTGTGGCTTTCTTCGTACTAGATCACCCCTATTGTTGACACTCATGTCTGGAATGTGACTTCTGACAGGACTGAAGATGTTTGCATTAGGGTTTAGCTGTGGGGTCTGTAAGGGGCTTCTCGTTGTCTGGGGCTGATTAGGTCCATGGTTAATATATCCTCCCTTAGTAAAAGACAGTAGATCGTCCTTTAATGTATTTAATTCACTTTGAAATTTACTAATCTTTTCCATTTGTGTATGCTGGCTTTCTCTCTACTGTTGGATACTTTCTTGTTGTTTATTTTCTTTCTCCTCCAACCACTGCTGTGGTCTCTCTTCTTGTTTCTTTTATTTTTCCTCCAACAACTGCTGTAATCTCTCTTCTTGTTTCTTTTCTTTTTCTTCCAACAACTACTGTAACCTTTCTTCTTGTTTCTTTTATTTTTCCTCTAACAACTGCTGTAATCTCTCTTCTTGTTTCTTTTATTCTTCCTCCAACAACTGCTGTAATCTCTTTTTTTGTTTATTTTGTTGTTCGAGCTGCAATTGTTTCAGGTTTTCTTGCCACAGCAGTTGTCTCTCTTCTTGTTTCTTTTCTTTTTCCTCCATTGTAGGCCTTCCATTACTCTTTCCATCAGCCTCTCAAATGTTGCTAGAGTATTGCTAAGCCTGAATGGCATCACACAGTATTGCCAGAGACCTTGGCCATAACTAAATGCAGTCTTTGGTTTATCTGCTTCAACCATTTTCACTTGATGGAAACCTGATTTTAAGTCCACAGTTGAAAACCACCTGGCTCCACTTTGGGCATCAAGAGTATCATCAATTCTTGGCAGCAAATACGAGTCCTTTTCAGTTATACTGTTAAGAGCCCTCAAATCCACACAGCAATGTTGGGTCCCATCCCATTCCTGACACCAATTTGTTACGTATCTGCTCATTTGTTAATTTCCGGTA